GCTTCGGGTGTTTTAGGATTGGTTAAACCAATCCTAAAACACCCGAAGTGAAACAAATCATCAAAGATATCGGGATCTTGTGATTGGATTTTGTCAATTTTGTATCCATTAGAAGCGTCTCACCGAGACGAAAATTTTGGTAATTGTTTTGTCGAAAACGGATCAGTGGATCAAAAGTTATCCACTGCTAAATATTTTTGGATTTTTCAATAGTAAATTCCAAAAATCCGCCGATATGCGATAAGTGTAACGTCATTGAAAAGGGCGTACGTACGAGAAAACCTTACAAACTCTATATAATTCATATATAGCTTGATGGATTCCTCTAGTATAGCCAAATTCAATTCTGAAGTTGACTTGTTCAAAAAACTTGATAACAATAAAAAAAACTATTATAGTTATCTGATAAATAATTTTTTAAGCACCGTATTGTGTCAGTATTTAAATAATGCTAGAGTCAGCATTCGTATACTTGTAATATTCTCGGTCTGGATTTAATAAAATTTAGGTATTGTAAAACTACTGAATTAACTTTGTTTAATTGATAGTAAGAATTGAGGCTGAAGCCAAACCATGAATGGTAACTTGTGTGTGAGAAATAAATGGTCTGATAATGTAGATTTATGAAAAGACGAGAAATTATACTGTAGTAACTATGCGAAAAGACACGTATTGCGTGTACGCGTTATTTCGAAGCCAAATATAAACTATTGTAAATCCGCTATTATATAATATATACGTTGTTTTAAACTTGGTTACTGTAATTTACGTATGTTGTAATAGCAGATATTTGCCATAGCTAATTTTTGGACATAGCTCCAATATTAGGCGCGATGCAGAATGTAATGTTGACTTTGAGTCTAAAAAAGTTTTTAAAAAAAAAAAAATAAGCAGAAGCTATAAACCAAAATTAGAAGATTGTATTTTTACTTTTACGTCATTAGAATCTACACTGTACGAATATTATTATTTTATTTCATTTTATCTTCATTTTACCTTCATTTTATCTTCATAAATCATTTGAGAATTTACGCAATAGAAACTATATCAGATATATCAAATGTCATGCGCTAAATGTCGTCAAATGTTAAGATACACACACAAAATATTACGGTATATGCAGATATGAGAATTAAGACCTTTTGACGTTTTTATCGTTACAGTTATGGCTATCGGGACATAAAAAGGCTATTTCACCATCGATTTCTAAATTTCATGCCTGTGGTGAATTACTTAATCTGTTCGTTGACTCTATTGTGGCAGTAGCCAAATCAATAATATTATAAAAAGCCTTATGCATCAGACATGACTTTCGTCTCGAAGGAGATCCGGTTTATAAAGTGCACAGTTAATTTTTATTAAATAAAATTTTTTCTAAGAATTCTGTTCGAATGAAAGCAATAATGGTTTATCACAAGTTACAGAATGAGAATTTCATTTCAACACTGCAATATTAACTTATTAACAGCGTCTTTCTATTTTTAAATTCACATGTTAAGATCATAAGAATTTAACGACATAAAAACTATTAATATTTGTAACAAGTATTTATTTAGTTCGTCACGTACGTGGATAGAATAATAATAGTCCTAAATATATACAATATACCGGTACGAAGCGAAGAACAGTAATCATGGTCCTACTTTATAATCGCGTTGACTAACAGCACTAAGCCAATCTCGTTAAACTGAACGTAATGCTAACCTGAGAAATGGTTACAATAAATCTCCCTAACTGCTAATGTATTAAATAATTGCTTACACCAGTTATTTCTGATTAACAGGATTGACTTAGTGTAAACAACGACGTTGTGAATACATGAATATATTAAATAAAATTATTGAAGCAAAAACTAATTCTATATAAAATTAATTCTATATAGTATACTTTCCTGTATTGTAATTAATTTATTACATTTAGATCCACGTTTTGAACTTCATTTTGAAATTTTTTGAAAACATTAGCAAAAATTTCTGCTTTGCCCGGATAAAGTTGATCATCCAAATGAAGGTAATGAACGTTAGTGTCATTCATATTAGAAAATAATTCATCCATTTTCTTCAAATCTTCTTTTGCTCTTTTGTACATATCGATATCTTCTCTATATTGGCTACTGAGTAAATATGAATATTCATATACGCTGCTACAAGTAACGAAACCAACTATTCCACCAGCTAATCGCTATTTGGTGATTAAAAAAGATTATTAATTATTAATCAGTTATGAGAAATTATGTGATAATTATTTGACATAATTGTTCCTACCCTGATAAATTGCTGCCGTGTGATTCCTGGTACTCCTGCTGAAAACGTCATGCCACTGAAAAACACTGCACCACTTTATAATATAAGCAAATTCAAAAAAAATCAATAATAATGATTATCGCAAATTATTGAAGGAAAAGCACAAACACATTTACTTACAGAATTGCACCTCTCATAACATAGGTCAAAATATTTGTCCTTTCTTGAAGTGCATTGGCCTCTTCTGCCAAGGCATCCAGTTTGTTAATTCCCTTTTCAATTAAAGAACAAATTTCACGAAGTATTTCACTTGTTTTAGCAAAATGTCCTAAAATAATAATAGATAATTATTTAATGAATTATTATTATTATTTAAAAAAAAAAAAACGAAAATTATACCATTTAATTGATCATATCGGTTCTCTCCAAGAGTATTAATAATATTTCCAATCGTTTGCTCCAATTTGACCAGTAAATCATCAATATTTTTAAAAAGATCTTTAAGCTGATCATCTATCAAATGACTTTCAAAGAAATGTTTAATTATCATAATTGTCTTATGAAGCACAGGAATACTCCTAATAGCATTCAATATATGGACAGAATATAAAAGAAATCTATCTTTTGTCTACAAAAATAAAAAAAAAAAGTAAGTCAAATGCTTTAAAAACGTTTATTCATATAGATAAATTTTTATAAATGCTTACCTTCTCAAAAAAGCGATTTGTTCTTCCAATTATCACAAAATTAAATAATTGTATAACAGCAGAAATGTTTTTAATAGAGTTTGACCAGATAATATGAAAATTTCCGTCTTGACTAGAAGTCACTGTAGAACCTGGAAACAATGACGCTAAACATTTATTTTGATTTATTCTGTCTTTACATTTATCACCTGCCATATTATCTATGGCCATATCAACTTTTTCAATCTCAAGTGGAAGTTCACCATTATCAGATGAAAATTTCTCTGAATGAGAAGAAAAAGGATGTAATATACTAACGGTACAAGAATCAAGAGGTATCCAATCTGAAAATCCATTTGTGGAAAGTTTGTTAATTCCTGAATAAGAAGACAATCGTTTAATCAAGTCCTCGTGATTAGTATAATTATAACTAATTCGAACCTACATCAAATATTGATGTTAGTTTCCTTTATTAAAGTAGGATGTAAAAATGTGAATAAAAAAAAAACCCATACTGTGGCAGACATTCCATCATAATCTGATACTCGAAAACGAAAATTTTCGCGAGCATCCCAAGGTGTTAATATCGCATCGTTTAAAGTTACTTCATCGATCGGTCCCTATAAAATTATCAAGAGAATATTTAAAATTTAATATATATTTGGTTTGATATTGATACTACGCTTTGAACCTACCTTCAAATTTTGAATTCGAAATTCTGCAAATGGGTTGGGACTAGTAGAAGACACATTTTGACGCAAAGCATAAATCCTATTATTATTCACTATAGCTAAAGGATGGAGTTGTGTCATCGCTGTAATAGTTTATTGATGTCGATATCGATATGTAAATTGAAGAACGATGTACTCTGCAGGTAGAGTATATATATACGCACGTACGTACGTACGTACGTATACGCTTTTTACAAACTGGGGTCATTAGTTACACAAATGTCATCATATAGTAAAAATATAGTAATTATGAGGACTTTATTTTCCGGCATATAATCAATTACCTTCTTTAGGTTTTTACAAATGTTTATTCCGGATATACAAAGTTGATTTGTATTCGTGTACAAAAAACTACTTTAATTTTTAAGTAATCAAGATCAAAAAAAGAAATCTAGAATAATTGTTGTGTACTAACGCTAAACATTGAGTAACTTTTCTTTCTTATTTGAAAAGACAATTTAAATGAATAGTCCAATTCATATTTAATCATTTTGTACTAAAATTTTTAGGGATATCTGATATCGATGATAATGAATAAATCATTAGTAATCACAAATTCTTGTCATGAAAATATAATGGCGTTAAATAATCTTTTTTTTAACAATTATAATTTAATTGCACAAAACACATAAATATTGTTTTAATCCAAATATTTACGTAATTTAAGACATAATGATTGCAAATAGTAAGTTAATGTCGTAATTTTCAAGCAATCCATTGTCGGGTAGAAATTACAATGGATATTCACAAATAAATATGCATGTATGAAGGTGAGTCTGCTGACTATTACAATTAAACATATGCATTCTTTATCGAAATCACACATGAATCGCCACCCAAAAAAATTTCAGTTCATGTGATTAATAATAATCACGAAATATCTTTTATTTTTACGAATGGGTATGAAAAAAAATTTTACATTTTGAAACAGTATTACCCAATCACTATTTATTGCTTATAATACTACAATATGGTCAATAATTTGTATAATATAATAAAGAAAACTCATGACGTATATTTTGTACTTACAACCTTATCCGTGTGAATGAAATGCTTTAAATGATAATAATTCATGAAATTTAATTCAATCACTAACATGATATTATGTAACTGATAAGGCCATTTGAAATTAAAATTTCGTTTAACATTCTCCCCCCTCCACCTCCAAGAGCCCCTAAAATTAAACAGGCCAATCAGAACGTTCATTACGCCTTGAAATTCCAATAAGTCACGTGCTCATAAGCCAACCAATAATAATGTGATTATTTTTGCGATATAACATAATGTTTGTTTAAATGGATACCCCCACTGCGCTTAAGCTTCAAAAAAAGGAACGTTAAACGAAATTTCAACTTCAGTCCACCTAATTACTGAAATTAAAATATAAAATTGACGGACGATTGTTTTTTAGTCATAAACCGCTTATAAAACATGCAAACTACAGTCAGGCCTTGTTATAGTAACTCTTGATTAGAGGTATTACCCGGGTCGGAAAATACGACCCGGACAAGTCAAATGTCGACCCGGGTTATGACCCGGATCAACGGGTTATATATATGATGTGTGCCCGTCGTAGCAGGGACACGTAAAAATTCTTTCGATTTAAAGCAAAAATTTCGATAAATTTCGAAGTCAACATAAAAAAATTTTAATGTTGTTCTCGTCCAATATATTATTACTGTATTATCATGTGATCGTCGGTATTTTTTTTTTTGGCCAATAATATTACTTTTATGTGATTTTTTATGATTTTGCCAAATTTCGAGAAATTTTAATCAAACTTGGCCTAATTTCAAAAAATTTCGATTTGCCTCCAAAATTTCGATTGCTTTCGAAAAATTTCTTTCGAAAAATTTACGTGTCCTTGCGTCGTAGCATATCTAAACATACCAACAAATATTTAAATCAGATCTTTTCAGAGTTTGTGCCGTATAAGTGTCATCTGCGCGTTAATTAATTGACTCGCGCGTTATTGAGATACGTCCATGTGCGTCATTTCGAAATAAGAGTTGATTTTTTTTAGTCCAATACCGTCAATCTTCCATAAATGGGGTCGTCGGAGCAGAATTATGTGAAATATGACCAATCAAATTATAGAATTTGATTCCCTGGCGAAGCAAGACAAGAAATAAAAGTGAAATCCCTGAAAATACAAAAAACGGCAGTCTAAACCTACCTTGGGTAAGTTAATTAAAATGTCGGGAAGGCAATTTCGCATATCAGATGTGAGACATGTCCCCTTGGTTGTTGTTACATATAAATCAAATGAGTTGACTTACCCAAATTTATATATAAAATTTGA